GCCAGCAGAGCCGGCAGCTGGAGGTGAGAACAGACCTCTCACTCAGGTCGCATGTGCCCTCTGGTGGCAGCTGGAGGGGATGGCTTCAGGCAGGGCTTGGCCCCCGGGCCAGCCCTCGCTCTCGTCAGTGGTTCTCAAAGTGGGGTCCCAGGACCCAGCCTCACTTGGGAACTTGTTAGAAACACAGTTTTTCAGGCCCTACCCCAGACCTCCTGAATCAGAAATTCTGGGGTTGGGGCCCAGCAATTTGTGTTTTAACAAGCCATTCGGGTGGTTCTGCTGAACCTCAAGTTTGAGAACCATTGTTCTAGATAAGTATAGGCCTGGTACCAGATACTGTGCCAAAAGAGCTTAGGCCTCTGAGAACAAAAGGAAAGAGAACAGCGAGGAACTGACGATGCTGAAGGCACTGGGGCCAGGCCAGGGCCACCACACAAAGGTCCTGCCCACACTTGGTCCCACCTCCCTCTCCACCCTAAGGCGTCTGGAGGCTGCAGAACTGGAGAATAGGGGCAGAATGGACCATCTCCCAGGGCAAACCAGTCCACACTTCTTGGATAGGGCTTAAAAGGCCACACCACATTGTGTGACGCTAAGCCTGGGATTCTTAGGACAGAGATCAGAGGTATAAAGGCAGGGTGAGCCCAGGGCCCCAGCAAGGCCATCCTGAGGAGATTTAAGACTAGAACCTCAGGCAAAGGCAGAGGAATGAGAAGCAAACCCTGAGACAGAAATAAAGCAGGAACCCAGAAAGCCCAAGGAAGGAGGGAGGCAAGAAAGGAAGTGTGGCCACCTGGTCAGAGGGAAGGAGATCCTCGAGACATTCATTTAACCAGATACCTTCCTAGAGGAAATGCTTTATAATTCCATTACTGTCAAAATGAAAAATCCCCACATTGACTCAAGATGCAGCGGTCCTGGGGCAATCGGGTCGAAGGCTCCAGCGGGGGAAGAATGGCTAGGCCCCGTTCTGCGAGGCTTCCCTGGCAGAGGAGTGACCGTTCTCAGTGCATCCAGCTGTTTAGGAAATCTTTGCACCTGGCTAAGTCAAGCAGGCATTTGTAGAGAAAATCTGACCCAAAAAAACAAGGTTTCAGCAGACACCAGAGACAGGCAGATAGAAAATGTCACAGCAAATGCACCACTTCAAATTTTCCCCTCTCCTTCTAGAAACAGTTCTGTTTATACTAATAGTCATAATAGTCACTAATAGTCATTCTAATAGTACTATTACAGAGAGGGGCTGATTCGGTTACGGCACAGTATTTCAGATTACATGAAATCTGTTTCTATTTCATCTCATCTATTAATTGACCTATTCATTCAGTAAATACTTAATGAGCACCTACTATGTGGCAGTCATTGTCCTGGGTTCTGGGGTTACAGCCATAAACAAACAAACATCCCTGCCCTCGCAGAGCTTACGTTCTAACGGGGGTGGGGGAGGGGATGATAAGCAAAATGTATAAGGCTTCGAGTTCTTCATCTCCAGCTTGCCCCTAATCAATTAAGCTCTTAATTCTGAACTGTCAAAGCCTGAGCGTTGGCTTTTTCTGAACTAGAAGAGAGTGACAGTGCTGAGTCTTCAAGTTAGGAGAGTCGGCTCAGGACAGGGCTTCTAAACAACTAACATGCAACCGAATGACCTGGAGATCCTGTTAAATGCAGATTAAGATGGGGGGCGGGGTCTGGGGAAGAGCTCCCAGGGGATGCTGAAGCTGCTGGCCTTCAGTCTGGGACCACACTTGTGATGAGCCAGGCTGTGGGGGATGGAGCGAGCCCCAGGGACAGGAATTCTCCGCCAGGTCCCTGCCTCACCACAACTCCTGGCTGCAGTGCTGGCCTTCCATGTGGCAGGCCCGGATAGTTTGCAGAGCACTCTGTTGTGTCATTTCACCCAGTTCCCATAGCAACTCCTTCCAGCAAGCAGGGCAGCAAAGGATACTACTCCTTAAAGGTGAGGAAGTGACAGCCACCCCAGAGAGGTGAGTCACAGAGCCGGTGGCGACAAAGCTGGGAGCTAACTGCCATCTCCATCTAGAGGGCTTGCCCATGCCACAGGGTTCCGCATGGCCTGGAGGAGACAAGGGCCCTGAGAGAGGCGGATGCCCTCGGGCAAGTGCTGCGGGCCTGTGAAGAAGCCAGCTCAGCAGTAAACATCGCGAGTCACAGAAAACCAGGCATTCATAGGTCTCAGAGCTGGACCTAACCGCGTCCAGCTAGCACAGCCCCCTTGAAAACAGTTTACTAGTTGGACTTCATGAATTGGCCTTGCGGTAGGTTCCGGTTTACCTCTTTACCTCCCTCTGGTGTGATGTGAATTTCACAAGAAGCAATCTGATAGCAGCTGTTAGAAATGTTCTGTCCTCCCAGGTGGCTTGCCACAGCTAGATGAATATAGCCAGGTAAGCATGGGGAACTGGGAGGGTGAGAGAAAGGACTCTTCCTTTCCTTCAGGCCAAGAGCCATGAGGAATTGTTCATTCTCATTTTATAGGGTCTCTTGGAAAGATTAACACCAAGAGAATGGACACACGACAGCTGTTTCCTTATGTCAAGCTGGGAGATGTCAATAAAGAGAGGTTATTCAGCCAGTCAAAAGATACTCAGCCTGCTTTTTCTGTAAATATTTAACCATCCAGAAGGGCAAACACTGCTTTATGGCATGTAATAAATTATAATGTACTAAGACGTAGAAGCACTTTACAATGGGCCTAAAATAACAAAGACAACTGGAGAGTTCCTTGGTGAAAAAGAATGTGCCAATGGGAATGCTGTAGGCAGACACATTCCTTCAGGGAAGGCAAAGGCAAAAGCCAAGCCAAGGCGTTTCCCCTGGGGAACTCTGCTCATGGTACTAAGAGTGGTGAGTCTGCAAGAGCCTAAATGGCCAAGACTCAGGAAGGCTATCCAGCAATAGGGACGGAGGGTGAGGTGCCAAGAGCAGAATTTTCCAGAACTGGAGCCAAGATCAACTGTAACAATGCCCAAGAGAGGAAAATGGGCCAGGAGAGGCAGCTGGCTTCTCAGCAGATGAAAACAGACACAGCTTCTAGAAACAAGGGAGGACTATAGAAGTGGTTACCTTGGAGGTCAGTTCAGGATCTGTAGGAGATAAGAAACCCAACAAGGTATTGGCCACAAAGTGGCCCAAAAAGATTCTGGAAAATAGGGAGGAAATGTGCTCTTAAGTTTTCTCAGCTACCTTCCAATCCCACCCCTAACTTGCTTTTTTAGGAAAGGAGGGTTGTACCAGAAAACAAGTCAGCCTAGGTTCTAATCAGATACCCAAGAGAAAGAGGGACGGGGGGAGGGAGGAGGGGGAGGAAGGCGGAGGGAGAGAGAGTGAGAATGGATGTGTCTTAAGTAAGACTAGAGCTAAAACCAGCTTGAAACCCTGGATGGACTATCTGCTCCCCGAGGCTGAGGCTCGGACGCTGCTGAGATGAGGGAGAACAAGAGCAGCAATCTAAGGCCCATTCAGAACAATCTACCTTACGGTGCCCTCCTGAAAAGTTAAAAAGGCAGAAAACTAGTTTTATCTGTAACAAAACGTTTATTCTTTTGAACCCCACAGGGGAAAAAAAAAGAATGCAGCCAAGACCAAATATTTAAAGAAAATAGTGTCCCAAAAGGCAGCAAAATGGGGGAAACCTCAACACAGTCAATGACAATTTTCCATGTTTTTGCACAAAGATGAGAAAAACCCATGACAATTCTGAGTAACACTTTCATGGTGACAATTACACAAGATGATTCAAAAATGCAAAATGGCAGCAACATGCACACCTGGCTAAAGCTAGAAGTTTTTTATCCCAAAATAAGATCTGTAATTAAAAGGATGATTCTTTTTAATACTTCTATTTGACTGACTTGCTTATCCTACTTAATTTGCTTTAAATGAGACGTACATGCCAATCAACAGGAAATTTTAGAAGAACTATGTCCTTCCAGAATCCATGGCAAGGAAGCAAAACCAATCTATTCGGTTTCTTAATTTTCCTAGTTTCCAAATACAATTTTGCTTTGCCCCGCCCTCTCCCAGCCCCTCCCCCCACCCTGACTCTTAAACACTTCCAAAAGTTGCCTGTGCAAGCACTTTTCTACCAATGTGTAATATACACTTGAAACTGAGATCTTTGTGCAGAGTTTTGAGTTGAAAACTCTTAAAAAAAAAAAAAAAACCCTCCTTGGCACAAGAGCTGAGGAATAATCAAGTTTCCTTTAAAGCGACAAACACAAGATGATGAGCAGTGGAAAGCACAGTTAAATGAAATGAAATTAAAAAGAAAAAACAAAACCGAGAACCGCAGCTTTTGTTAGCTGTCATCGCAGTCTCGCGTACACTGACACCGCCCAGCTCCCCTCCCAAGGTGCTCGCCTCGGGACAAGTCCAGAACACGGTGGTGCTTGCTAAGAAAGGAAACGGAAGATGCAGCCGTGGTGGAAACAACAGCCCAGCTACCCACCGGTTTTACAGCGGGATCCGCAGTGAGCTTGATACAGAGAGAAGAGGGATGATGGTAAAGGGGGAAAATAGTTTCAAATCACCAAGTTTCCTCTTGAAATGTCTTTTCCCAAGGCACTGTGAACAAGACTGCGGCTGGCAATTTTCTAGGACTAAACACACCGATGGGAATATAAACATTTCTAACACAACCCCTGTGACATTCTCACAGCTAGTCTCATCACCTCAGCTGAAATGACACTCCTTGAATGTGTTTGCTCCTTGAAGAGGTAATTGACTTCTGTTTTCTATAATATCAATAATCATCTTCTTTAATGCAGCTATAAAATCAAAGCTGGGTTAGGTTATTTAACCCTCTCACTCTAAAAACTAAAAGTTCCCATTATCATCCCACGTGAATCCAATGTGCAGGTTAGGCTTGCTTATTTAACAACAAAATAAGACCAAACAAAAATAAAGGGTTGAGAAGCAAAAATTCTGCTTTTTTTTTCTTCAAGAGGAAACTGTAAGAATACATAAAAGGCAAAATTGGCTACTTGAAATCCAAGAATGGTTTTAATGTATTGGCCGAGAAAAATAAACTGCAAAGTTCTGTGAGGTCTTCTAAAAATTTACAAGAAAAACTGATGGGCAGTTCTAATCAGACTTGGGTGTTATCTTTTCCCCCCTTTTTAAAAAGGACAACATATACAGTCCCACAAAATACAATATAAACTTTTTTTATCTTGACTGCCAGAGACGCTCCTCTGCGATGCCTTCTGGTAACCAAACGTTTGGGCAAAACCACAGTGGGCCTTCATTTCTTCAGGGGCTGGTAAACAGAGGCATTGGGATCGAGTCCAGAGGGGCTGGTCTCCACAAATTTGGAAGAGTAGTGAGGGGAAACGGGGCTCAGGGGGCTGGTGGCAGCACTGTACGTTATGCTGGGCATAACAGCCATGACTTCCGCGATCTTCTGTTTTAGGTCCTTGATTTCCTGGTCTTTCTGAAGAATTTGTCCTGAAAGATCAAAGACCCACCATTAGTGAGAAGGGAGGGCTCACTCAGCACAGTGCCCTCTTGGGCCAATCTCAAGTAGATTCAACTCCAGCTTTGATGATTTGTAAGGGTAGGCAAATTTTTCCTGTACAGGGCCAAACAGTATATATTCTAGGTGTTGTGAGTCACACATTGTCTTTGTTGTGTTTTTTCTTTAAACCATGGAAAAATGTAAAAACCATTCTTAGCCCATGGGCCGTACAAGAACAGGCAGCACTTTGGCCTGTGGGCCATGGTTTACAGTAAAAAGGGAGTCTGTTCACGTAGGTGTGACTAAACAAAGAGGTCAATTTCCAGGAGCCACGTTTTGAGCACGGCAGTCACCTACGGCAGCCTAAGAGGGTGCCCACCTTGAACTACGGCTCTACCTCTCGAGCTGGAATACTTTTCTGGGAGGATGGACTATTTCTGAGTGTCAGAGCAAAGAACAGAGAACGACCAAGGCCTCAGAATCAGTAACAACAATACACTGCCCCACGGTTCTTATAGAAAATAAACGGAGCTCTGCGGCTGGGCCCGGGGGTGCTCAGGTGACGCGGATCGCTCGCCCCTGCCTCTTGGCACAGTGCCCCTCAGACCCACTGCCCAATCTGCACTTGGGGGACCGAGTTAGTAACATTGCCCGACTCGGCCTCACAGCACATCCTCCCCTCACTACACTCGCTTCTTGATCCAACCAGCTCCTGCCTGCCTCAGGCTGCTTCCCTTTCTGTGCGTCTCCTGTTCTCTGTGTTATTAACTCTTGAGGTTTCTGTTTCTACTTCATCACGAAGCTTTCCCTGATCCTCCCATCTAAATCAGACCCTACCCCTCCCCCAAACTCCTAGATTCTCAACGCACCCTAAACTTTCCTGTCACTTTATTCTTTGTAATAATGATAATAAGCACAATAGCTAACACATGTGTGCCAGGCACTGTTCTAAGTGCTTACATATCCTAATTTATTTATCACCGCAACCCTATGAGGTGGGAATTATCATCAACATCATCCACTTTGGAGATGAGGAAACTGAGGCATAGAGAGGTTGAGTGACAGAGCCAGGATTCAAATCTCTGCAGTCGGCTCGAGTCTGCGCTCCTACCTGCCTACCGCACTCTTCCGTCTCTGGTAACTCTTCACGGGGTGACGATTTGTGTGACCATCTCTCCACTGGGGCACGAGCTCCAGGAGGGCAGAGCCTGGGTCTACTTTGGTCTCCATTACCATAGCCCTCCTGCCCAGCACAGTAGGCAGCTGAGGCTCGGCAAGTTACACATCTTGCCCAAGTCATTCAGTTATTAAGAGGTGGAGCAGGATTTAAACCCAGGACCACACTGTTCCAAAGCCCATGCCATTTCCATCACGCTTTGAAGCTCCCTGGTCTACTAGGGGAAGAACACTTAGGAGCAGCCATTCAGAAATTTAAATGCTTAAAAAAGGAGGAGGCCGCATTTGAGCTGCACTCATTTTGAGTCCCACAGAAGAGGGTAATATATTTGAAATGTAAGAGAGCGTGGTGGCATATTTTTAAAAAGGATGTAGTAGAGATGAAAGTCATTTTGGAACCAGGATGAATCAAATGATATAGAAAGTAGGAAGGAGAAAAGCAACAAGGGGTTTGATCTGAATTACAAAGCTGGGTTCTTCTTAGAATATTCTGAGCATGACAGTGGAGGGAAGTAGTGGGGACAGCAGCAGCAAAGGGCAGTGGAAAGGAACTGCTTCCTCTGCCTCCCTTCATGTCTCCTCAGCTTCAAGTTAGCATCAAATATCCTCCTTCCCTTTGAACAAAAGCCTCAGATGAATAAAATACCTAACGGTATCTGAAATGTGAGCCACTGTTTTTTTTTCCATGCAGGTTTAAGTTTGCTTTCTTTAATCAGTAACATGCAAACATTCCCAGAGCTTTGGAAAAGAAGTTCCCTTTGCTTCTTTGTGGCTTTACAAGAATTCCTGGGCTGATAACGAAGCACAGTCTGTGCTGGGAGGCCAGGCTCCCCTCGGATACCCTGAGACCAGGTGCTCTTCACTGCAGGGGGTAATCTCTTCCAAGTCTGCAAACCCAAGTGAAGGAGATGAGGCAGAGAGGGGTGGCCACTTCTCAGGGAGCTGAGTTAGGCATGCAAAGAAACCAGTGTACGGTCAGAAGTTTGGCTTTAAAGCAGGATTCCCAGGAACTTTCTTTGTAAATGCCTTTCCTTGAGTCCACAGATTAATAAGCCTGATTCTCAACTCCGTTCTCTTTTTGCTCTACCACCTGGGCCATCCCAAGCCACTCCTATGGCTTCACTAACTTCTCACAACTTCTACATCCCACCTCTACCCCTCTCTCTGGGGTTTAGGCCACAAATTCTCACTGACTGATGAAGACTTTTCCCCTGGGTGTCCAGGAAGCAACCCCAAATTAAAACATCCCAACCAAAATCATTCTCTCTTCTCATTCCTTAAATCTGTTCTGCTCTTCTTCCTTGGTTCCAGAAACTTCATCCTCCCAGATCCCTCAGGCATCTCCACTTTCCTTTGCTCCCCTGTCTGGACCATCCTCGTCTCCCCATTCATCAGCTCTTACAGAGAAGATAGTGATAGCTTTCTCTCTGCCTCCACTCAATCTCACCTTCCAAATCCACCTTTCACACTGAGATTTCCAAAATAACAGCCAGAACACGTCACCCCCTTCCTCTTGAAAATCTACGGAATACATTCTCTAATAGGGCTTTGTTCACGGTCCTCCTAATCTCCCACTCTCTTCTTCCACGTCCCCCAGCTTGAGGCCACTGGACTGCTCACCTGGACATTGCTAGCACTTTCTTTCCTTCACTTACCCTATTCCCTCAGGTAACAATGTTCTTCTCTGCCATTCTCTGCTCTCAGAATTCATCCTTCAAAGCCCACTCCATGTCTCCTCCCGCATGAAGCCACCCCTGATCTCTCCTCTGGTCTTTCAAGCCCTCTGCCTCTACCTAATGGCAGCAGGCCTTTCTGCCTGGCTTGCCCTAGTGCAGCAATTCTCACAGGGTTCAAACTATCTTCATAATAGTACTAAGACATTATTTGCCTTCTTCACACTCACTTCCTCTCGAGCATAAGTGGAGTCTTCCAGAAATGACATGACAAATGAAATTACAACAGATTGAATGTAGAAACAGAGATGAGAATCAAACTATTTTCTATTAAGCCAGAAATTAAAGAGATCTGCTAAATGTAAAACAATGCCACTTCTCTCATTAAATTTTTTTTGTTTTGGAAAATACAGTTATTTCTCAAAAGAATGTTATTTATGTTAACAAGTAATATGTACAGCAAGTTATCTTAAGTTTTAAGTTTTACTTTCTAATAGGTAAATATTGATAGATATAATCCACTTGAAGAAACCTTTCTTGGGATACTCAATAATTTTAAGAGTGTAAAGGGGTCCCTAAGACCAAACAGTTTGAGCACCACTGCCCTAGTGGATCCCCCACTAGACTATGTCCTGTTTATCTTTGTCTCCTCTTTAGCTTCTAGTACAATGCTTTATACAGAGTAGGTGGGAATGCTCTTCAAGTACCTGTTGAAATATTCTTTTCCTTCTACTAAGTCAACTGTTTGAAAATTTTTTTTAGTAATCTATTGGTGGTTAATCAATTTCTTGGACAAAATCCAAATTTCTGTTCATCAGGTCATGTCATGCCTCTGTTCAGAAGCCTTCCAAAGCTTCCCACGTCACTCAGAGTAAAGTTCAAAGTTCCTTCCATGGGCTACAAAGGCTGGCAGGATGTGGCTCCTGCTACTTCTGACTCTGACAACTCTGCCGTCACTCAGGCTGCAGCCCCACTGGACACCACACATGCTCCCTTCGCCTGAAGTGTTTTTCCCCCAAAGCTTTAGGTGGTTCCCTTGCTTCCTTCCTCTCAGTGTCTGCTCAAATGCTGCCTATTCCAAGGTTCTTTCATGACCACCATGTGAAGCCAGCAGCCCCACATACCCTGCCTCACCACTGCTGTATTTTCTGCACTGTGCCCATCACCATCTGATATATTATATATCTGCTTGTTACTCTCTGTTCCCTCAGGGATTCTCACAGTGCCTGGCACATAGTAGGTCTCAATAAATCTCTGCTGAGTGAATAGCCTGCTCTGCAGACTCTCCTCCCACCACTCCCTCACTTACAACCTCCGCTGCAACCAAGCAGAGCCAGCTGCAGCTCTGGACACACCAGACCCTCCTGCCTACCTGGCCTGGCCCAGGCTGTTTCTTCTGTTTAGGAGCCTCTCTACCCCTCCTCCCCCCACTACACTGCTTCTTCACTGGGCTAACCCCTCGTCATCATTCAAGACCCAGCTCAGACATCAGCTCCCCTGAGAAATGGCCCTCCTAACTCCCCAGTCTGGTTAGTCCCTGCCTCTCTCTATGTTCCCACACACCCTGTACATAACTGCTGCACCCCAGCATCTTTCGGCAGCTCTGTAGTCCTCTATTTCTTTAACAACACTGTGAGCTCCTTAGGCATAGAAACGCATACTCTTCTCTGTACGCCCTGCACTTAACATGTTCTCATCTCAAAATATGTATGCAGAATGGGAGGGGATGATTCCTAGATGTCAATGTTGGGCACTTATCAAACCACTTGAAGAGCAAACTGCAATGCCTCTGGTTCTGAGCTCTAAGGGAGCCCTGCTCTCTGGGGCCTGGTGCGTCCTCAGGCGTCCACCTCACCTGGGCCCGCCACTCTCCTACCTTGGGCAATCTCGAGCTGTCGCTTTGCATCCCCCAGTGCGGAGAACAGGTCCAGCTTGATTCTCGTCTCTGCGCTCAGGCTGTTCTCCAGATGCTGCGTTTTATCTTGCATGGCTGAGAGGGCTGACATTAACACCTCAGTGTCCTTCTCATTTTCCTTATACTTCCGAAGCTCCTATCAACATCATCAAAGCAGCAATGTTACAAGATAGTTTTGGCATCGATGTCTACAAATTAGCCTGAAATCACAAATAAAATACCACTATTATTGACCGGGCCCCTAGAACACAGAATTCTGGTATTTCCTGGGTTTAGACCTTACCATTTGGAGTGTAAAATGTATTTATACGATAATGTACATGTACAAAAACATTTTAGTAGATAAATTTGACTGTGTGGGCTGTATCTAGATAACATGGACTCTGTCTCCAAATAAAACACTTTCTTACAAGCCTACCTCAGAACCACAAAAAACTTTTTCTTTGCTGCCAGCTGCAAATGTTGCTATAACGCTATAGTCAAATTTGCCAAAACTCTACTCTCAACTTGCACTAAAAATTATAAAAATGTTAATTATTTTGACAGGGCACAATGCAGAACAACCCCACTTAAAAGTTCCGGTAATGTAGCCAATAAATATATATATATATATACACAGATATTTTAATTTTTTCATTTTAAGAGAGAAATCCAAACTTACTACAGAGAATTCAGAAATGTGTTAAAGTTCAAAGAAGAAAATGAAAAAAATCCCAATACTGTGAAAAATTTGATATATTTTCTTTGAGTCTTTTTTAAGGATTATGTGTATCTTTTAGCATAACTAAAATCCCATTATATGTATAGTTTTGTATACAGTTTTTTAAAAACTTACATAATCTCAACTGTTCTTTGAAAATGTAATTTTAACGGCTATATAATATTCCCACATTTATGTACCATAACTTATTAACTGCATTTCCTATTATTAAGATTGTTTCTAATTTTTTTTGTAATTATATATAATGACTATGATGAACATCTCTGTATATCAATCACTGGTGAGATTTTTAAATATTTACCTTAGGAAGAATCCTAAAAAAGGAAATACTAAAAAATTACATGACCTTTTCCAGAAAGTCACACTTCCCTCAGCAATGTATGAAGCCCGTTTCATCACATCCTCGCCCAAGCTGATACTATCATTTGAAAATTCTCTGCTCATTTCAGAGGAGATAAATGATATCTAATTTTAATCTAATTTCTTTGGTGATTGATGAAAATAATTCTTATGTTCTCATCAGCCATTTATATTTCTTCTGTGAATTATTTGTTCACATCCTTTGCCTATTCTTCTGTATATTTGAGCTTTTTCTTAGTAATTTTATGAACTATTTACAAATCGAGAGTATTAATTCCTTATACTTGTTGCAGTACCTGTACCCTCCCCAAGTGATTTTTTTTTTTTTAATATTACTTTATTTATTATTTTTTGTGTGTGTGAGGAAGACCAGCCCTGAGCTAACATCCATGCCAATCCTCCTCTTCTTGCTGAGGAAGACTGGCCCTGAGCTAACATCCGTGCCCATCTTCCTCCACTTTACACAGAATGCCGCCACAGCATGGCCTGACAAGTGGTGCATCGGTGGGCGCCCCATCCGAACCCGGGCCGCCAGCAGCGGAGCGCACGCACTTAACCGCTACACCACGGGGCCGGCCCCTCCCCAATTGATTTTTTCATTTATTTTTTTTTGCTTTGTGATTTCTTCCATTATTTTTGCTTAGAAAGACTTCCCGTGTTTTAAGATCACATAAATTCCACTATATTTTCACCTAGTTTAAAAAAAAAGTTCTTTTCTTCCTGCATTCAACTCTTCATCTGGAGTTTCTTTTTGTTTGATATGAGATGAGCTTCTAATTGTATTTTCTTTTTTCCAGTCATCTAGCTGTTTTACTGACTAGTCCTCAATGTTCCCATCCACTTCTGATGCCACTTTACTGCACATTTTAGGCTGTCTCTTGGTCATCTATTCTACTACACCGACCTGCTAGTAATTTCTTACCAGTTCCACACGATTCAAATTACTGTAACTTTACAATATTTGATATTAGTTTTAAATGTCCCTTTGAGAAGCCAATGCTAAATACTTGGCTAAGGTACATACAGCCCAAAAAACTGGCTATGTCCTCAGCATTGGCAGCTTTCCTCATCATGCACTGCTCAGAATTTCAATCTGCAAGGCTCAGAGCCATCCAGAATGGTCAATTCCCTGGCGATGGATAGAGGGATAGGGCTAGGAAGAGGTGTATAAGATCCAAAGGACATTAATCTGGTCTATACCCTAAGAAAGTGAAATCAATCTACAGTAAGTCAAATTCTGGTATAAATCATGTCAAGAGACCATCCACACTTCTGGCTTGTATTAGAATCAGGCTAAATTAAATACGACTTGAATGAGCTGGACAAGATAAGAGCCTCTTTTTGTCGTACAGAGATTTTCAGATGCAATGGGATTTGGTCTATATGAAGAGGCACCATCTCCACACTGCAGCGTGGAGCATAAGTCTCACACACAAGAGGAGCTCAAGTGTGAGGAAGTCTGCGTTCCCCTATTACCTGAACTTTCAGTTCTAGTTCTCTGATCTGGTCTTCCTTCACCTTCATGTCCATCGTGAGCTTCTTGCCCTCTGCTTCTAATTCTCTGATCCGATTCCGTAAGGTTTCGGTGCACTCTCCCCTTTTAAAACAGAAGAGAAGGAAATGGAGGGATTTAAAAGACTATAGGTTGACATACACTGCAGGTCATATTTCTCTTAAACTCCAGAGGCAGGTGGGTTTTAGCTTTCAGCTCAGTCTGCTCATTCTCTCTGTTCTTTGATAATTTCAACAATGACCTAAAATAATTATCATTAATTGGGTGTCTAATATGAGCCAGGCGCCAAGCTAGGTACCTTACCCAGACTATCTTCTTTACTGGTGTAGGGTATATTATCCCATTTTCCAGATAAGAAAATTGAAGCTACATAGACATAACACTAGTCCAAGGTCACCTAGCTTGTAGGTCACAGAACTGGGATAAGAACTCAGGTTTCCCAGCTTCCCAATCCAGCAAGCTCCCACCAAGCCATACAAGTGAGACAATGCACACAGGCTGAGCAAGAGAACCAGATATGTGCTGTCTCCAGCAGGGGGCAGTGAGCTAAAAAAAATGTTCACTTTTGAGGGGCTAGGCATTGGGAATTTCACCTTTCTTTAGTCATGAAGTTGTCACAAGCCTGGAGTAAACAGAAAAAGGGAGCAGCATTAGGTTGCTTCTCAGGGCTATAATAAGGACAAACTAAAAAAGATGATGACAATGGCCGATCCAAAGCTGATTAACTGTTTAGGTTTCAAAAACGGCCTGATGGAGAAAGAAGGTGTCCTTTGCCTACCAAAAAAGAAGTCCAGGGAGAGACATATGCCTTGAGATTTACTTAAAAATAAAAACAGCCTCTATATAAGTGATGGCAAACAAGGACCATGCAGAGATAAGACGAAAAGAAATAAGCTGAACTGGAAGCAAAAGGGATTTAGGGTCAAGACTGAAACCAATTTACTGATTCTCAGGCATAAGAGACACTAAAAAATACGGTTCAAGAACTGTCATATCCTTCTCAGTGGATTTTTTTTTTTTTTTGTAAGGACGATCAGCCCTGAGCTAACATCCGTGTTAATCCTCCTCTTTTTGCTGAGGAAGACCAGCCCTGAGCTAACATCTATTGCCAATCCTCCTCCTTTTTTTCCCCTTTTTCTCCCCAAAGCCCCAGTAGATAGTTGCATGTCATAGCTTCACATCCTTCTAGTTGCTGTACATGGGATGCGGCCTCAGCATGGCCGGAGAAGCGGTGTGTCGGTGTGCGCTCGGGATCCAAACCCGGGCCGCCAGCAGTGGAGCGCACTTAACCACTAAGCCATGGGGCCGGCCCAACACCTACCCTTTTTTAAAAAATCCACTGAGGGCCAGCCCCGTGGCTTAGCAGTTGGGTGCACGCGCTCCGCTGCTGGCGGCCCGGGTTTGGATCCCGGGCGCGCACCGACACACCGCTTCTCTGGCCATGCTGAGGCCGCGTCCCACGTACAGCAACTAGAAGGATGTGAAGCTATAACATGCAACTATCTACTGGGGCTTTGGGGGGAAATAAATAAATAAATAAAATCTTTAAAAAAGCGTAGGTGCTGGATGAATGAAGGACAGCACAAGCCACACTAGATGACTGCTTAGGAAACTCTCCAGCAAGTGCTTCAGAAATGCTTACAAATCTCTAAACGAATAAACAAACAAAAAAACCCCCACATCCTCGGCAGGCTAGTGAAGGGTCATGTGAGTCTCTATAGATGCTGATGGGCCAAGTGACCTCAGCCGTCTGCAGTAGAGTCTGCTGGGGGAAGCATGACCACACAGGAGAAAGAGTTCTCTGCCTGTTACTTCCTAAAAGGTGACATGATGAAGCATCAATTATTCTGCAAATGCCAGAACCCAAAAGAAGGCTATTAACATGCCAAATACAAAAAAGCAAAACTCAAGGAAGAATTACAGCAGAATTATATCACATAGATACAAATTAGGATAGAAACTTAAAATGAAATAAATAATAATAGTTTACCCTCACTCTTCATTTGTAAACCCATAACTGACCCCCACCATGCAGATGGACTTCCCTAGCCAAAAAAACAAAGAAAAAAGAAAAAGCGATAAAGTGAATAGAAGACCCCCAACCCTCCCTCCCCCCAAAAAGGCTCTTAACTATCTTTTCTCCTTTCTCCAGATGGCAGTGACACATCAGTTTCTGGAATACTGGCATACTTTTCAATGGTGTATAGGAGGTAGTCCCCAGTTTTCATCACTCCAAAAATTCAATGATATCTAAGAGTGACATCTTTCTTTTTTTTTTTTCTTCATCTTTTCCAGTTCATTTGACAGTTTGCTGATATCCAACAAAGACATGAGTAGTCAGTATACAGTGCTTGGGCAACCAAGATTTTATCTTTCTTCCATTTTAAGATAAAAACTCCAGAAACACACACACCTAAGAGTAGAGAGTAATAACAGTTCCCTAAAGGGAACAAAATTCCAGATTGCAATCTCTCAAAGTGTTTAGTAATTATTAATCTTACAGCAAGTGACTGGAAACCCTTTGATGAGCAGCACTTTGCCTCCCAGGTATGGGAGGCATGGTGATCCCCTCATCCCACTTTAGCAATGAGGTCACTGAGGGATGAATTTGTTATAAGACAGAGCAAGCTTCCACAGATGAGGCTGAACCAGCTAACAAAGCAGTACTTAAAAGCAATCCATCCGTGCACAGTTGTTGTGTTTCCAATCCTGCCCCAGGCATCAAATTTCCAGGTCTGTCTTGGTACCAGGAAAGACAACCTTGCATTAAGCACTCAGGTGACATGGACATACCTAGACGCAGCAGCAAATGCAACAGCCCGGGCAGCAGTAGCTTCTTCTAACTTCTTCCTTTTTTTCTCTTCCATTAATTGCTTTTCTACAAAACTTCGGGCTTCCTGCTCAGCTTTTAGCTTTTTCTCCAACTGGCTGATGTTCTGCTTGTCTTTTTGCTTCATCTGCACAGCATTATGTAGCCTATATGGAAATGATAGTCATACAGAGCTTTATAATTAGAAATGCCTACCATAAACCCCGGAGAAACACGGCTCCTCTTTATCATGTTAAGGCCAAAGTAAACAGGAGGTGTGAACAACAAATCATAAATATCAATTCCCAGAGTGCCCAGGGAAAACACACTGTCATTGTTATTTAACAATTCCTAAACACCAATAAATAAGCTGCCTTACAAGATACAGACTCATACGTAGACTCTGCTCTATTAAGATAAGCGATCTACAGAAGGTAATCCAGAAAGTAGGATAAAACAAGATTCTATCAGAGGGAAAAATAGCTGTAGAACTAATTCTAGTGCCTCAAAGCACCTTGAAAGAACGCAGTCCGACCAAGGAAGAGCTGGTGGAACCAGCCCCACTGAAACTGAGGAAAAGGGTGGGAGGGGGAAGGAATTTCTTTGTCTGAATACAATTATGCTGCAGCCGATTGCAGCCTTTCCTTTCCAGCTGTGAGACGTTTTCTCAGAGTGTCCCAAAATAGATCTCATCCTTAGAGTCACAGGATGCTTAATTTCAGATAGAAATTTCAGCTGTATTCCATTCCCTGCCTACTACCAGCCCCAGCTTTACATATCAATATAAGGTGAGCTTATCTCAATATATCAATATAAGGTGAGATGTTCTCTATGTATCAATGCCAGAGCATCACATATGTGGCTCAGAAGCAATGGAGAGGTTATTTGGCTATAACGCTCTAGCTTTTGAGTTACTTTCCTTAAAAATGGTGAAGGACTCCTCTTTCAATAGGGAAAGCCCAGAGCCTATAATAGTAATCACCACCCAAGACACACATTGCCTAGAGATTAAAAAAAGGGACAGACCCACATTGAGCCAAGAAGTAACTCCAGGAGGAATTAATAGAAAGCACACAAGGAATCACACAGAAGAATTTTGCCTGCCTCTTCAAGTAAAATCAAAGTTCAGTGTCATTTTTTAGTTCCAGAAATCCAAGTAGAGTCTAATCCTCTGGAAACTTTCACTCAAAGGAGCAAGAGTTTCAAGTTGTGGCAGAACTACTTGTCAATTTTACTTATAACAAAAGCTCCATAACTATTTTAAACTAAGAGAAGTCATTAAATGAGAGAAGACAAAATGGTAATATTAAATTGTTTTATTACAATGAAGTAAATTTGTATAGATTTTATAATATGTTGAATATCTGGTACGAAATTAAATATTTTAAATATTTTATTTAAAAACCCCTCTGCTAGGTCCCTTTGTCATCATGAATCTTGAGCTCCAATCCCTGGAAACAAGAGAAACAATGAGGCTGGCTTGACTGGTGGCCAGAGGCCCAAAAGGTGCACGTACTTGTTCTGCAGCAGCTCGTTCTCCTGCCGGAGCTGGCCCATCTCTGAGCGGATCCCTCGCTCGGTGCTCGAGAGGGAGCTGATCTGACTGCGGAGTTCTTGTTCCACTTGCCTGCTGGCCTGCAGGTCAGCCTTTAACTTTTTAATGTCTTGTTCCAGCCTAGGAGAAGGAGAAACACAGCATTTTCATCACAGAAAGGGTGCCCACAGGGCTCTGGGGGAGACCCTGGCTGAAGTCCTGGACTGCCGGGTGGACAGTGGAGGACCCCTGGCAGCCGCTGCCGTTGCCACGACTCCGGTCTGCCATCAGCTTTTTACTAACTGCTTCTGCCTGGTGCCCACCTCTTCCCACCAGAAGATAACTTTCATTTCCCCCAAATGTTTGTGAACATTGACAGGTGAGGGGAAGGCAGAGAGAGGGTGGCTGAAGGGTAAGGTTCCCTACTGATGAATTTCGCATGCCCCTCAGCAAGGGAGATATGTTCAAAACAACCCGCTCATGACCCACCTGCTTTAAGATATTCTGATAGATCAGGATCTACTGTCTGAGATTCCCTCCCACCACAGGCCTAGAAGAAAACAGTGTCTGAGACAACCTCCTGAAATTGCTAGCGTCCTTGCTAAACAATGTTCACACTTCTGGTGATTGTGACAGAAGAGCTCATTAGCCTCAACAACAATGAAAAAAGGAACAAATTACATGCTCTAAGAATCAGAAGAAAATGCCTTCTGTGAGCTGAAGCCTATCTTTTCAATTCCTTACTCCTGTTCCATCTATTTTCTTTAATACAATAGTTTCATGTGAAGCGATATGTACTGGGGAACTATTACATGCACATGTAGGGCCGAAAAGCATCAACGAAAAGTTTACAATCAAGCCTCTTTCTTTATGAGAGGACTTTACAATTTCACTGGAGGCCAATCAATAGATACTTAAAATGATTAAACAATAACACAAGGAAGGCCATGTTACACCCATGGTAGAAGGAATAATAACTAATATTTAATAAGAACTTAGGTGCCAGGCACTGTTCTATAGGCTTTAATGGTATGAACTCATTTAATTTGCACACCTATGGGCTAAGTGCAATTATTATTCCCATCTTTACAGATGAAGAAATCTAGACGCAGGAAAGGTTCCAGCCCAGCATCACACTGGACCTAGCTCCAGAGTCCACTCTCTTCTCCAGTAGGCTGAATTATGGCTGTGTCATCCCCAGCATGGTATGGGTGGAAGTGCACATGAGTTCTGAAGAGAGAAGATGGGAATTGAGCAGGGTATTGAAGGTTGGGCAGGATTTGGAGAAGTAAAAAGAGAAGAGGGGGCATTCTAAACAAGGGAGCAAACACGCTCAAAGGCTCAAAGGCAGGAGCAGCCATAGATATTTAGGGATGGAGCAATCAACCTGGCCTCTGAGGAGAGCTTGTACTTAGGGAACAGAGTGAGAAAGGTAGAACAGATCTGGTAGATGGGACAGTGGAGAGTGGCCCTGATGGTGAGGCCAAGGATGGCTGCCATGTGAGACTTGGGAGACAACTTTTCCTACAAACTCACAGGGAGGCAAAAATCAGTTTGCTCCATGAGACTCCCGTGCATTTCACTAATCCAGCATACCAACAGAACCAAGATTTCTGGAGGGCAATGGTGATCTCTCCTTGGAGCCACCAGCTCCATCGAGTAAGTCCTTATAGACATGTTTTATTAAGCACAAAATCCCCAAAGCCCACCACAGTGTTCAATACTTACTAAATATATGTTGCCTGGCCTCCCTTAGAAGAGCAGCTTTACTTACCTATCTACCTTTAGCCAACTGAAATAAAATCTCAAAAACAAGAAGTCATAAAACCTCGATGGTCATCTCCCAGGCACAGAAGCCAGGCCCCCTGTCCAGTGCCCGGGAGCACAGACTGGAGACCTTGTGTTCCAGAAAAGCTCCCCAGGGAAGGGTCACAAGTCAACATCCATCACGCCACACATTCCCTATTGCCAGGGTTATTCCAGTTACTCTCGGAACTGCTCTAAACAATTACACACCATCCCTCACTCACCAGGAGTAACCCAAGGGATATTTTCCAAAACAGGTCGATGCTGTCAGGTTATCCCCATTAAGAAGTTTGGCTGAAAAGCATGTTAGGTAATTTATCTTTCTTGAGAAGTCGATTTCACAGTCTGAGGATTGTATTTTTAGTAGAAGGTGTGAGTTTTAATGAGAATAAGGACTTAGCATGGTTTAGTAACGTTTAGGATCAAGATTCTAGACTCAGCTCTGGTGCCAACTCTGCGACCCTGGGCAAGGCATGCAACCTTCTAGAACTCAGTTTCCCCATCTGAGGCTAATGATCTCTAAAGTTCCTCCCAGCTTGGTCTAGCATTTCTAGGCCTGACACACTTACTGCTGGCTGCTGATCTGCTTCCTCAGATTAGCAACCTAAGCTGTATCATACTCAGAGGCACAGGAATCAAGTTCCACACAACCAGCTGACTGGAGCACAGCATGTGCCCCAGATGGGGATGAAAGAAAAATTCAATCTGCAGAAGCTAGATGTCAATAATTTTGAAGTTATTACTTTTTTGCATTCTTTAATCTATAAAAGCCAGTTTTCCTACCATGAACTAAGAATAACAATATTCGGAATGAAATTTTAGGGCTCCTTAAAAAATGTAAAAACTCAAAGAGTTAATGCAGTTATGAGCGCAAAAAGTGCCAAATATCTCCAGTGTAACTTCTGGAGACCACAGAACACTAAACAACAATATATTTTTTATGTAGAACTATGAAAATTTTGTCAAAGACCTATAGCAGCACAATACAACAAAAATAAAATGACGTGGTTCCAAGAGTATGTTCACTTCATGAAAATTCATAAGTTGTACACTTAAGATTTGTGCACTTTTGTGGATGTGTGTTACACTTCAATAAAAAGTTTATTTTCAAAAATAAAATAATAATTTTACAAGACTAGAACTAGAATGCTTCTGGATTTTCATAACAGCTACCATTAATTTTGTAAAAGTCTGAATTATTGTTTTCCAAACAGCTGCAGCAAACCTGTGAATTAACGTCAGCCTTCTCCAGGTTTCTTAACCTGGAGACTGCATGATGACATGTAAGATAACTTAAAGTGCTAAATGGGAAATGCTCAGTAATTTTTGAAATTTATGAGGGAAATTTTTCATTGTCTCCCTACAGAAAGCATTAATTCAACCTTGAACGTTTACTATATTTTACATCTTTACCGAGGTAGGTGGTAAAATGATTTACAATGCTTACTGGATTTTTTACTGCAAAAGTGATACCCAGTCAATATAAAAAACTGCACACAACAACAGAAAAGTTTAAAGAATAAAAATGTAAAAAACTCACAATCCTCTCATCCAGACAGAACCACTCACTATTTGCATTTGCTTTACTTCTTTTCTGTTTGTCTTTTTTTCTTTCTCTTTCTTCACACATGTAAATATTTTTAATACTGGTGAGAGTGTACCACATATACAGTTCATATCTTAAGCACCTTCCCACACCATTAGAAATTTTTCATAAACAATTTAACTGTTGCATAATATTCCACTGTATGGATGCACCATCCAATCCTATTTTCTACGATATATATCAATTTCTGCATATGCTCAATAGAGGAATGCATGCATGAGTTTTTTAAAAGAATTATGTGAATTAGTAAATTGAACTAAATCAAGCCAGTCAAGTGCCAGGGGCATTTATTAGATAGATAACTACTACTTGTCTTAATGGTATACTTAACCCTTTGGTTCTGAAGGTCAATACTTCCTAGGTAAAATGCAGATATATAATTTATTGATGAGAAGCACCAAAAAGTACTGATTAAATGGTGTTAAGAGGTTAATGCAAAATCTTCAAATGTATTCATGGGGTTTACTAAAATGTCAATAGCTGCAACCTAAATTAGAAGCCAGTGGTCAGGAAGAAAATGAGGCAGAAGTAATAGTTCATAACCCTTAAAATTAATTTCAGTAAATAGGGAATCAAAGGAAAGGAGGAAAAAAACAGCCAAATTGAGGATCTCTCTTACCCACTCCAAACCTCACCTCTATCTCACCTCCTCCCTCAACTCACCCAACTAAGGTAAGCTATAATGTAAATGCTTGATAATTATGTAATTTTAAGAGGAAAAGATTTACATTTTAATAAGGGGTAATCTTCTAGTTGACCAAAAGAATGAAGCTCAAACATTAGCCTTTCAGGCAGGCTAAGCAGGAGAAATATCTTTGAGTATCTTTAAATACATCTGGTAGTAAAACAAAGTACAGTATTCAAGTATCAGCCTTTAGTTGAAAGGGGTATTGTTTTTAAGTATCTGAAAAGGTAGTGAGATATTTATGTCTAAATGTTTATAATCCCTAACCTTTGTGAATTAGCTGAATTACAACCCACAGTACTATGACTTCACTGAAAGTTTAAAAGTCTCCAATGGATACTGCCAATAACTTCATGGTTTATAAAGCCTGAGGCTTTCTGAGGCCTGACTGAGGGCACTTTAAGGTTTCGGGGTAGGAAGCAAGTTCTGCCAAAAAGAGGGAGACCTTTTCTTAGCCAGGACTTCACCTAGGGATGACTGGGTTCCCCAAATACTCTATGAGTCACACTCCATACCCACTCCAGAAAACTACCTAAGTGTAGATTTCTATGGGCTGCTGGCTTGACCCCACGGGCCTATCAGGAAGATAAGGAGCCTTGGCTCGGCTGGTTATCTCTGAACTCCAAAGAACTGGTGACAGAGATGCTATAGGTTCTGCAAGAAAACACAGAACTTACGATGCTACTTGTTCTGTAAGAAAAGGGGCTTCAGAAGGTCATCTCCAAATTATACAGCCAACTGACTGAAAGACAGATTTTTCTAACAAACCTGTCACACCAGCCAAAATGACCCACTCCTCGTTTCCAGACATCTTCTGCCTTTAATGATACCACCCCTCTAGGAGAAATGGCCTCCAATTTTCAAATCTCATTCATTCTTCAAGGCCCAGTCAAAAAATAGAAACAAACAACAAACTAAACAAACTCTCCAGCCTGACGCGGTGATCTCCAGGCCCCAAAGTTCCCGCTCCTGAAATCCAAAAGCCCTCACTGTGAGTGCTTTTCGTTTGGCACTAAACCATTGCCCTGTGCTGTTTTTTAATTT